GAGTCTGTTTCTGCTTTGTTTTGTTTATTTGTTTTGTTTTTTATATTCCATGTATAAGTGAAATCATATGGTGTCTTTTCTGTCGGATTTCACTCTTATTTTACTTAGCATAATACCCTTTAAGTCCTGTGATGATGTCACAAATGATAATATTTCGTTCTTTTTTATGGCTGAGTAATATTCTGTGTGTGTGTGTGTGTGTGTGTGTGTGTGAGAGAGATCTTTATCCATTCCTGTATGGATGGACACTTAGATTGCTTCCATATGTTGGCTATTGAAACTAATGCTGTAGTGAACATCAGTGTGCATTTATCTCTTCAGATTGGGGTTTTTGTTTTCTTCAGATAAATATCCAGAAGTGAAATTGCTGGATCATACAGTAACTTTCAACTTTTTGACAAACCTCCACACTGTTCTTCATAGTGGCTGCATCAATATATATTCATACCAACAGTGCACAAGGGTCCTCTTTCCTCCACATTCTCACCAACCCTTGTTATTGTCTTTTTGGTACTAGCCAATCTGACAGGTGTGAAGTGATCTCACTGTGGTTCTGATTTGCCTTTCCCTGATGATGAGGGATGATGAGCATCTTTTCATATCCCTGTTGGATCTCTATGTTGTCTTTGTAAAAATGTCTATTCAAGTCCTCTGCCCATTTTTTAATTGGGTTATTTGTGCATTTTTTATGTTAGGTTGTGTGGGTGCTTTAAACTTATTTTGGATACTACTTAGCAGATAAAGGATTTGCAAATACCTTCTTCCATTCAGTAGGTTGCCTTTTCATTTGTTGATCATTTCCTTTGCTGTGCAAAAGCTTTGTAGTTTGGGCACCTGGGTGGCTCAGTCAGTTGAGAGTCTGCCTTCAGCTTGGGTCATGATCCCAGGGTCCCGGGATCAAGTCCCGCATTGGGCTTCCTGCTCAGTGGGGAGTCTGCTCCTCCCTGTCTCTCTGCCTCCCCCAGCTTGTGCTCTCTCTCCCTCACTCTCTCAAATAAAACAATAAAATCTTTAAAAAAAAAAAAAAAAAAAGCTTTCTAGTTTGATGTAGTCCCATTTGTTTATTTTAGCTTTTGTTGCCCTTATCTGAAGAGATGGGTCCAAAAACAGATTGCTAAGCCTGATGTCAGAGAGCTTACCACCTATGTTTTCTCCTAGGAGTTTTTTGGTTTTAGGTCTTATATTCAAGTCTTTAATCCAATTTTAACTTATTTTTGTGTATGGTGTAAGAGAGTGGTCCAGTTTGGGTTTTTTGCATGTAGCTGTCCAGTCTTCCCAACACTATTTATTGAAGAGACCATCTTTTCTCCCATTGTATACTCATGCTTTCTTTGTCATAGATATATTACCCATTATATACGTGGGGTTTTTTCTGGGCTCTCTGTTCTATTCCATTGATCTGTGTCTTTTTTGTGCTAGTACCAGACTATTTTGATTACTATAATTTTATAGTATAGTTCGAAACCAGGGAGTGTGGAACCTTCAGTTTCCTTCTTCTTTTGCAAGATGGCTTTGTCTGTTTGGGTCTTTTGTGGTCCATACAGATTTTAGGATTCTTTGTTCTAATTCTGTGAAAAATGCCTTTGGCATTTTAATGGGGATTGCAGTGAATCTATAGATTGCTTACCATAGTATAGACATTTTAACAATATTAATTCTCCCAGTCCATGAGCACAGAATATCTTTGTATTTATTTGTATCTCCTTCAGTTTCTTTCATCAAATTCTTAGAGTTTTCAGAGTACAAGTCTCTCACCTCCTTGGTCAAGTTTATTCCTAGGTATTTTATTCTTTTTTGATGCAATCATACATGGGATTATTTTCTTAATTTCTCTTTCTGATAGCTTGTTATTAGTGTATGGAAATGCAACCAATTTCTGTTTGTTGATTTTGTATCCTTTGAGTTTACTGCAAGCGTTTATCAGTTCTAGTAGTTTCTTGGTGCGGTCTAGAGTTTTCCATATATAGTATCATGACATCTGCAAATAGTGACAGTTTTACTTCTTTCTTTCCAATTTGGCTGCGTTCTATTTCTTTTTCTTGCCCAATTGCTGTGGCTAGAACTTCCAGTACTATGTTGCATAAAAGTGGCAAGAGTGGGCGTCCTTATCTTATTACTGATCTTAGAGGAAAAGCTCTCAGTTTTTCACCATTGAGTATGATGTTCCCTATGGGTTTGTCATAGATGGTCTTTACCATGTTGTGGTACATTCCCTCTAGACCCACTTTGTTGGGAGTTTTTATCATTAAGATTTCCTTTTAAGTGGGGTGCCTGGGTGGCTCAGTCGTTAAGCATCTGCCTTCGGTTCAGGTCATGATCCCAGGGTCCTGGGATTGAGCCCCACATCGGGCTCCCTGCTCAGCGGGGAAGCCTGCTTCTCCCTCTCCCACTCCCCTGCTTGTGTTCCCTCTCTCACTGTCTCTCTCTCTGTCAATTAAATAAGTAAAATTTAAAAAAAAAAAGATTTCCTTTTAAGTGATCCATTTCATTGGGATTTTCATATTTATTCCCTATAATTGAATACAGTATTTTCATAATTTTTAATTCCCTGTTCTTTCTCTATTTTTTTATTGATCAAACTTGCTAGAGATTTGTCTATCTTATTGATATATATAAACAACCAGCCTTAGATTTATCCGTCATTTCCATTCTTTTTTGACTAATCGATTCATTCACTTCTGCTTCTCTCTCTATTGATTCTTCCCTCACCTTCTTTAGATCTACTTTATGTGTGCTAGGCAGGTTTGTATAAATAAATGGTGATCTAGCAAGAGCCCAAGTTTATTAACTTCCAGGTCATGACCACCCACGTTGTAGAACTCTGGATGTTCTACCACCTTCTCCAACTCCCCGCCAGTCCAGTGCTCCTCAACCCCCCAGTTCTAGCTCTGTGCTCTTGAATTACACCCTCCTGACCAAAACTCTACTATCTATTCAACTTGAACCCTGTTCCTCCCTCTTCCAAATTCACAGTGTAGGGAAGTTGTCTATATAAGTTATTATTCCTTTCCTCTTTGAACCAAATGGAGTCAGAGAAGGGAGATTCGCTTCCCTGTTCTAAGCAGCCCTCTAGATACGCCTTAGCTAGAGTCCCATTTACTTCCTCCATCCCAGTGGCCTGATCTGCGACAAGACTATTCTGTCACACCTTGGAACTCTTCTCCAAAACTGCCAACAGAGAAACTGGGAAATGACTCACATTGTGTTATTGTTGGGTCTCTGTGTGGTTTGTCACACGGTGCCTCTGAGTTTCTGTTACAGAAACAGCTCTGGGATATTTTCAAGGTGGGTTCATGCCCTTTGCTGATTGTCCATTTGGCTTTCTCCTCAGCCCCCCAGCTTTGCCCCGTAGGTGAACCAGAGGGAAGATTTGAAACTCAGACTGAGTTAATCAGACTACTAGCAGCCTCCTAAGGAGTTTTGAGAGGAGTTGCACAGTCCATTTCTCACAACGAGGCAATGGATTTTTCCCTTTGTCCTCAACCTTCCCAAGAACAGATCACTAGAAATCTTGCTCACATTCCGGGATTAACAGTATTACCTCCTTCTACATAAGCATCAATGTGTTCTATCTCTGCTCCCAAGAAAAACCTCTCTCCTAAAGTACGGGGACACTTTCTTTTATCAGACAATAGGAGCTTCCAGATACCTCTGGGGAAACGTAGTGGCCTGCTTCAGGAGGAATCCATCTTCCACCTTCCCAAAAGGTGTGTGTTGAGTAATATCCAGGTGTCTTTACATCAGCCAATTGGAAGCCGTTTTGGAAGTATGTAGAGTAAAATATATGGATAGGTAAGATCCCTCAATTCCACTGAAAATGATAATTATTTTATTTCCTGGGCAGAGCTAGGGGTAAGAGGAAAGATCCTCCAGACAATCTTCACTTCCTCCAGGAACCTCCCCCCACAGACAGCCCACTTAAGAAAGGCCAGAGATCTGTGGCGAGTGCTGACACCTTGCCCACCCGTGTTCTTCTGATGAGTGGGAGGACACATCCTCAGCCCTGAACTTGACTACCAGGGCTCATGGCTGAGCCAAGGAGGGCACACTTGCCTCTCACCCATGGTGGGGGTGAGAAGTGGAGAAATAACAGTGATCCACTGGAAAATCAATGGACTTCCCCAGAGTGCTGATGTAATTAGTAGCCCTGCCGTCAGTGACCATAAGTGCTTTGTGAAGCACCTCCTGCAAAAAATTAAGCCCTTGTCCAGTGGCTTTCCGATAACAGAAATAATACATCTGAATTTTATTCATTCAGAAATAAATGTGCAGGGGCGCCTGGGTGGCTCAGTTGGTTAAGCAACTGCCTTCGGCTCAGGTCATGATCCTGGAGTCCCGGGATCGAGTCCCTCATCGGGCTCCCCGCTCGGCAGGGAGTCTGCTTCTCCCTCTGACCCTCCTCCCTCTCATGTTCTCTGTCTCTCATTCTCTCTCTCTCAAATAAAAAAAAAAAAGAAAGAAAGAAAGAAATGTGCAGGGGCGCCTGGGTGGCTCAGTTGGTTAAGCGACTGCCTTCGGCTCAGGTCATGATCCTGGAGTCCCGGGATCGAGTCCCTCATCGGGCTCCCCGCTCGGCAGGGAGTCTGCTTCTCCCTCTCCCACTCCCCGTTTGTGTTCCCTCTCTCGCTGTGTCTTTCTCTGTCAAATAATAAATAAATAAAATCTTTAAAAAAATAAATAAATGTGCAGTGGCTCTTGCTCTTCACGTGTAGCAACTGAACGGCATTCAATATCTGGATGTCTTTCTGATCAGATTTAGAATAATGGTGAAAGCCATGAATTACAGGGCACAAAGCCTGACATGTTTATTGCTTACAATTCATTTTATAGCCCTTTCTTTGAGGGCTTGAGCTGCTGAACAGGGGCTGATTGTGAGCTAGTAACAAAGAGAACTCCAGAGTTGTGTCTCGGTTCACCCCTCTGGAACAGGTGTCAAGGCCAGAGCATGGGCCTGAGGCCAGGTGAGGGCCCTCTCTGACCAGTACCAACTTCATCCGCAGTGCCACCAGTCATCCGCGTGTATCCAGAGACCCAGGCACAGGAGCCCGGCATGGCAGCCAGTCTGAGATGCCACGCAGAGGGCATTCCTATGCCCAGAATCACTTGGCTGAAAAATGGCATGGATGTCTCCACCCAGATGTCAAAACAGCTTTCCCTATTAGGTAAGAACCGCCCTCGGTGCCTCTCTGCTCTTTCCATCAAGTTCAAGCTGACACTTCGCCCAGCAGTGGAAATGAGAGACATGATTTGTTTCTAAGTCAGATGTGTCGGGAGTGAACAAACGTCTCCCCAAATTCTCCTGCTATCTGGGCTCACATAGGTCTGGCAGGCTTTTTGAGCGCAATGATGATAACCTGTCAATCAGATCCCAGGTCAGCGTCAGTTTAGTTCAGCTGTTCGAGCTCTTTCTGGGCATGTATCATGGATGTTGGCTGCCCTCAGCCCTGCTAAGGGCTTGTGTTTGTAATGTCACCACTCTGAATAGAAGGAAGACAGGAGACAGGAGGGAGGAGGGCGGTCCCAGCTGAGCAGGCCATCCTGAGCACTGTCCTTCCTCCAGCCAATGGGAGCGAACTCCACATCGGCAATGTTCGGTATGAAGACACAGGGGCGTATACCTGCATCGCCAAAAACGAAGTGGGCGTGGATGAGGATATCTCCTCACTTTTCATCGAAGACTCGGCTAGAAAGACCCGTGAGTCCGCTCTTGCCTCTGAGGTCCTCGTTGTGCTGATTGGGGGATGTTGGGTGCAAGGGGACCAACTGACCAAGGCCACACCCATCATCCATGAGCCCCTGAAGACAGGGGTAAACTCCCATATTCTGTGCTCAAAGCTGGGGACAGAGGGTGCCCAGAGGTGAGCAGACCTTCCCTGGCAACCTCGACAACACACAGACAGAGAAGGTCCCTGGACAGCAGAGTGCCCAGGACCACAAGGAAGCTTGTATATCCCAGCCCCACTTCTGTCTCCTCCTTGCTGTATAGACTGGAACCTCTGCCCCTCACCCACAAAATTCCTCCTACTTTCCACCCAGCAGTCCGTGTTGCAGATTCCATATATGATAGACTAGATATCAGTTCATGATCTATATCACGTGCTGCCATCCCACCATGGCCCAGGAAGTGGCCCGGCCACAATTGCACACATAACCTTGACTCCAGGGATTATAGCCCACCTGGTGGCCAAGTGTGCCTTCCCTGGTAGCCACCACTCCCCAAATGGCATGATTCTGTGGACACGGGTGATAGATAGGATCTCTTGCCCTTATTCAAAGACTCCAAGCTGAGTCTTCATCATCAAAGGAGATCATTAGAAGTGTTTCAGATGGTCTTCCTAGGAGAATCCTAGCTGAAAATCAGTATGGCTTCTGGAAGTAATCAGGAACTCTAGGAGAGCGGTTGCTTGCTCCTTGTCAACCATGGCAATGGAGGATCCCATTAGTTTCCGTGATCCTGGGGACCTGATTTCAAAGACTATTTATAAATTGAAAGGGTCCCGAGACCTGGAAACATGTGTCCACATCCAGAGTCCCGTCAGAGTGCTGTTGCTGGGGCAGTGAGTCGGGGCAGACTCCACACACGATGGATTAGGTAGCCGTTCGTCCCTGAAAGGAATCACTATGGTAAAGTTGTTGACATTGCTTTGTTCTCTTTTCCTTCCCTCAATCACGTTCCCGCGCTCCTGATTCTCTGACGCTGTAGTTGCAAACATTCTGTGGCGAGAGGAAGGTACCAAGCTCACTTCTTCTGTGTTGTGCTTGTGATCGCCTGTGTTCATGCCTCCATTGTGGGGCCATATCTCCATGGGCCACCATCAGCTTGTCCAGACACCACGCAGTCCCAAGTGGGGCCCACCTGCCAGATCGGATGGGAGAGGGGAGGTCAATGTCAAACTCAAGCGTCACACACTGAGAAGCAGATTTAAAACCTACTAGTGTCTTTAATGGACACCAGTCCAATAGAACTTAAAAATAGGAAGTTGCCGTCTAAAGCTGTTTGAAACTGTCACTGAAGCAGATTACTTGGCAGGGGTTCCTAGTTGGATGAGGCCTTCAGCTTTTTTCCAGAAGCTGATATTGGTGTTGGGGTTTAGTGTATACTTTGAGGAAGTGCCAAAGAAAAAAGCCACCATGATTTCTGTAAATGTATATTTACATGTATATTTTTAAATGAATAGACTTTTTTTTTTTAAGATTTTATTTATTTATTTGACAGAGAGAGACAAAGCAAGAGAAGGAACACAAGCAGGGGGAGTGAGAGAGGGAGAAGCAGGCTTCCCACTGAGCAAGGAGCTGGATGCGGGGCTCGATCCCAGGACCCTGGAATCATGACCTGAGCCAAAGGCAGACACTTAACGACTGAGCCACCCAGGCGCCCCTGAATAGACTTTTTTAAATTTGTATTTATCAAACCATCTTTAGATATTAGGTTGGGCCCTAAAAAAAAAAATGGCCATTCTTATACATAAAAATGGTCGAATATTGACAATTTCATGTGGTTCAAAAAATAGCAGGCCCGTGTGGGAACTGGGTTATAGAGCCTGAGTCACTGCTTGGGGTGCATGTGCCTTGTGGACCCCCGCCCAGGGCAGCCTCTCCACCAGAGCAGAGTTCACATCACCTGGAGATAACTTATTCTCCAGGTTAGTGGATGGGGGTGTCAGGGAGGAGTATGAGAAGGAGCAGAATGCACCCTGTGATTTCAGGGTTAAGCACCAAATCTACCTCTTTAAAAGCTGGCCTGGGGGGCACCTGGGTGGCTCAGTCGATTAAGCGTCTGCCTTCAGCTCAGGTCGTGATCCTGGGGTCCTGGGATCGAGTCCTGCATCAGACTCCTTGTTCAGTGGGGAGCCTGCTTCTCCCTCTGTCTGCTGCTCCCCCTGCTTGTGCTCGCTCTCTGACAAATAAATTTAAAAATCTTAAAAAAAAAAAAAACAAATAAATGAAAGCCGGCCTAGTTCCTGTCTCATTTTTCCCTCGTGAACATCTCATGGCATTTCCTAGAGCCTAGCATATGCATGCCTGCGCGGACTCAGAGCAATTTCCCGAGCGTCAGGCACTGCTGCTCACAGTCCGTCTCCGCAAAACGAAAGCAGAGCCTGAGAAATGAGAATGGATGCCGGTAGGCTTTAGGGTTCCTTGGCAGGACAGGTTGTAGCAATGGCCGCTCATCACGGACAGCTGTCCCTCGGTGGTGCGTGACCCAGCTCCTAGGCCACGGTGCACGCAGAGCGCTTTCCCTCTGTGTCCTTGAGAGGTGGTAATTTTCTAAGGTGAGTTTACTACCAAGAGGCTCAAGTTTCAAAAGTGGAGCCCAGCAAAGAATGCAGCTGTCGAGGCCCCACCTTGAGGCCAACTGAAGACCCCCAGCCGCTTTCGGGCCCCGGGCTGGCAGGTGCTGCCCTCAGTGTGGACAATGCAGCAGCAAACAAATCCCACCCTGCCCAGATGGCCAGCTGCCTGTACCCTTCGCAGCTGGAACCCAGGGCTGGGGGTTAGGAAACACCGGAGTGTAACCCAACAGGCCAGCAGGCCGGCAGGGAACCGTCCCCTCTCAACAAGAGACGATCGGGGCACACCACAGCAAAGAAAGCTCCTTCGTGCCCCCTTAGGAGAAGCTACACTCAAACAGAACCTTCCAGGGGCCGGATCATGAGGCTGGCTCTCCTGCGAAGTCAGTAGTTTGTCGAGGCCCGCGTTCTGTTGCTGACGATGAGCAAGGCTGTGCTTCGCCTGCCATGTGGCCGCAGCCGCAACCCGACGTGGGGTCCCCCGAGCTTTCAGTCTTGCCTTGGTCCTTGCAGCTGTCGATTTCCCAAGAGGCCCCTGGAGGCCGAGGGACCCCAGGGACAGGGACTTTGACTCATAGGTCTGAGCAAAAGAAGTTTGCCAGGTGAGAGTGGACAGAGAGAAGGCCCCACGGGGGCAAGATAAATGGGGACAGAAGCTGGGGTGCCCTGGGTGCCGAGACAGGGCCCTCGTGGGTGGCCCCTTCGTGCAGGCTCTGGGGACAGGCTGCCCAGCACCCCAGGGTTCCCCACTGGGACCTGTGCAGGGTTCTCCCAGGCACTGCTGGCTTCTCAGAGGCTGGGGTCCAGTTGTGCCCAATGGCAGAGCCCTCCTGCCCAGAGCCCCTCTCAGCACAGAACCAGCAGCAGCTAAGACTGTGTCATGGAGTCAGGGACCTTGGCCCACACTGGGAACCCCGGGCACTGGGGCTTCCTGGTCAGTAAGGGCCCAAGGCCTAGAAAATTGCCTGCAGTCATTGGAAGCAGGTGGAATGTTGGTTCCTATTTCGTGTTACATTGTTTTCTAACACTAAAAACTTACCCAGATAGTCCGTGAAGTCACTAGCTGGGTTTCTGAGCATGCTAGGAAAGAGTGTGTTTTTCATGTATTTAATTTTCTTAGCATTTATGGAAATCTGTTGACTATCCTACCTTCACAAGAAAAGAAGTGAGGGAGAAAGGGAGAACTCAAACCTTCCCTATATTTGTGCCCTATTTACCTTTTATGTTGAGGCACGGTGATGCAGAAGAGCCCGGAGTAGGGGTTCAGGGTCCAGCCCCAGCTCTGACATAAATCCAAGTAGCCGCTAGCAAGCCTCTTCCCTTCCTTGGACCTCAGTTTTTTTGTGTTTATAATAAGGAGGCAGCACTAGCTCCTCCCACGGCCCTTTCTCTGCTAGTCTGAGATTTCTGCCCGCCGACCACACCGGCCGCACCGGGGCGGTGGTGGGAACGGGCTGTCTTGAAGGGGGGGTCTGCTGGCACAGACAGGCCATGAAATTGGCACAAAGGAGTACCAGCCACAGCTTTGTCAGGACCCTAAGTTCCAGGGAGTGGTGCTGTATAGAAATGTGGCTTTTTAAAAAAAGAGCTAGCCTTGGGGCGCCTGGGTGGCTCAGTCGTTAAGCGTCTGCCTTCGGCTCGGGTCATGATCCCAGGGTCCTGGGATCGAGTCCCACATCGGGCTCCCTGCTCCGCGGGAAGCCTGCTTCTCCCTCTCCCACTCCCCCTGCTTGTGTTCCCTCTCTCGCTGTCAAATAAATAAAATCTTTAAAAAAAAAAAAAGAAAAAAGAGCTAGCCTTTGCCTTTCTGGCATGATCTGATCCATCTGATTTGACTAGCTGACAAAAATGACCAAGGGAGACTCTTGCAGAACAGGGAAGGCCAAATGTAGGTCAGAACCAAGGCTAGCATTCATTTGAAACCTTGCGTCGGTGGCCCGCCCGGGGCACCCTAGGGCAGAAGCGCGTGTCCGGGAGGATAGCCTTGGGATCGCAGAGCCCTCGTCCGCTGTAGTGGTTCACAGCCCTCTGGCACTTTCTCCCCATGCTGCCCACACGCCACCTGCTCATCTCACGTCACCTTGACCGGTGCCTGCACCCCACGCAGCCAAACCGCAGCTGTCGAGCATGCCCCATGTGGCACGTGACCCTACTTGGGAGCTAGCCGCTGGGGACAGTGGAGCATAACCATGGCCGTGTTTGCTCCTCGCAGGCCTCAGTGTGGGGAACATGTTCTACGTCTTCTCTGACGATGGCATTATCATCCTGCACCCCGTGGACTGTGAAATCCAGAGGCACCTCAGACCCACGGAGAAGATCTTCATGAGCTACGTAAGTGTCCGTGCCTGCAAGTCGGCCTTCCATGACGGCCCCCTTGACTTCCGAGACTCCATTTGCTGCATGTGGTATAGTTCCACATGCGTTCCAAGGCTCCAGAAAGTCCACGGGAGGCTAAGAGTTGAAGGTCTCGTTCCTTGATTGGGCCTTCAGTACACAGAGCCCTCGGTGAGGCCTAAGGCTTACAGGTGGGTTTCTCTTCCCTACAAGTTCATAGAGAAAGGATGGTGACAGCGGTGTGAACAGATAGCCCAACAGGTGCTGCTAGAAGGAGGTGCAAGGTGCACTGGGACACTGAGGGGCGAGGCCTCTCCAGACCCAGGGAGGACAAAGTCAGAGAAGGCTCCTGAGCAGGGGACCCCTGGGCTCAGGTGTGAAGAAGATGTAGGAACTGGGGATGGGTTTCTAAAGGGACTGTCATGAACATGGCAAAAAGTGGCATAAAATGTCTTGTCACATCCGGGGAATCGCAAATACTTGGTCTGACTGAGATTAGGATGACTGTAGGTCAGGGTCAAAGCTAAGGAGTTTTAATGGCAGATCTTAAAAGTTCCGGGGACCCCTGGAGGACTTCAAGTGAAGCAAGGCCCTGGTGGGGCTGCTTTAGAATACATGCGGGGCCCCAGTGAGGGTAATGATGAGCAGGACCGGATTGGAAGCCCAGAAGCAGGTGCAGAGGCTGTTGTGAGCATCCAGGTGAGAAAGGGTAGTGACCTAGCCAAGCCAGGGGCAGTGACAATGGGAAAAATTGAGTAGATTGTACTGTTATTCACAGGTAAGATCAACAGGCACCACAAGGGTCATCCAGGGTCTTGCTAGGAGGAGCAGAGTACCCTTCACTCAGGAGGAGGAGAGGCAGGTTAGGGGGACACAGTTCATTCTCTTTCACTCTATGAGGCCCTCTACAGAGGCCACATTCTCCATCTCGTGCTGGGGATCCCAAAAGCAGAGCAGATAGGCTCCTCACCAAGGAGACGAGGGTGGCCTATGATGTAGTGAGTTTGAGATGCCCATGGGACACAAGCATAGAAACATCCAGAAGATGGGGACGGGGAGGGGATGGGCCGTAGTGGGCTGGAGAGTCGTCGGCTCTCTGGCAGGCAAAAGAAGTAGCTTTAAGGAAGCCTGGAGAACATGGGTCACAGAACCTGAGGATAGCCAAGTTTACAAAAGGAAGGGCTCCTCAACAAGTCAATAGAGGAGGTGAGCTGCGAGGTTCTCAGGGGCCCCCGAGGAACAAGGGGAGAGAGCGTGAAACACAAGAACGCCCCAAGCATCAGAGGTGCGACGAAGCATGAGGCCCAATGCAGAGCTGCCATGCTACATGGACAGAGGCCGCAGAGATGACTGCTGGTGGCAGGTCCAGGAAAGCCTTTCTAGCCCTCCAGACCCAGCTGTCCACAGGCGTCCCCTAGACGGTGCTTCCTCACCCGACCCCACCCCAGGGCTCTGTCCCTCCCGTTGGTTTCTCTCTGGGCCTTGTGTTGGTGGTTGCCTGCATAAGGTAGACCCTTAGCTACTTGCCGGTAGAATTACATTAACCCAAAAGAGTCCTCTGCAGGCCCTGCTGGGCCTCTCCTCGAGGACACGCAGTGAAGGAACTGGTGAGCAGCGACAGGCCTGGAGCTCGTGGTGGAAGTAGGCCATGCCCAGGCGGGTTCCTGCAGCCAGCTTGTTGCATTGCTGTGCGGGCTCTTGGTAGGTCTCAGGCTCTTGCGTCTCTCACATTTGTAGCTCTGGAACAGCTGTTTTCTGGGCTGTTTCATTTGAATTAATCATTTTTTAGATGTGCTACCCTTGATGAATTTTCCTTCCACGTAGTAGCCATGAAACCATCTAGAAAGAGTGGTCCTAGTTAATTTCTAGCAGTTAGGTTTAAATAATTGCACCCTGTCACATGGGCACTAATTTCTCATAGATTTGCAATAACCTGTAGCTCAAGGGAAATCTCTGAAAACGTAACCACGACTCACATTTCCTAAAAAGCCAGAACAAGTCACAGTAGGGGAGGCCCCACAGGCCTATCAGACAGCGCAAGACCATGGTGAACTAAGCAACAGTCCCAAACAACCGTGTTCTCCTCTAGAAAATGCCCCACCATCTCCCAAGAGGATTACCGTGAAGCGAGCCTCTGGTCAAAGCACTGAGCGAGTAGGAGATTGGTGCATCTTCTCTCGGGTGTCTCTGCTGGATGAGGGGTCCACTCTGGGCAGTGGGAAACAGCACATGTAGGCAGGGGCACAGGTACCCCTGGGTTCACATCCCACCTCTGTCACTCAGCAGGACTGAGTGGCTTTAGACAAGTGACCTAACCCCTCCAAGCCTCTGTTTTCTCACATGTGAATGGGGGTGGTTGTGAGGATTGAATGTGATGCCAGGCAGTGACCAGGGTAGAAGGTGACAGTTCTGCCCCAAAGCTATTGCAGTCATTTAGGAAAGACCTGGAAAATAGATGAACTCAGGGAATGAGGAGGCCATCTCCGAGGTCCTTGGTGACTCATTTGTGGCAGACTGTAGGGGAGAAGGAAACAGCAAGGGTGATGGCCATGCTCAGTCCTGGCTGACCAGCTGCTGCTGAAGACCCGGCGGGAGGGGCAAGTGTAGAAGAGAGGAACAGCTCGGGGGTGGCTGGCTGAGTATGAGGGGGCTGTGGGAGAACCAAGCGGGCACTGGAGAAGGTGGTTCTGAGCTAAAGACACAGGTCTGGGATCCATCTGCATCTGGGCTTTGGCTAAAGTCAGGGCAGTAGACGAGACCGCCAATGGTGTGTGTGAGTGGTTTGAGTTGGGTACCTGAACAGAACCCTGAGGGTCAGTAGTTACAGGACAGGCAGACCAAGAGGGACCACAAGGAGACTGAGACAGAGCTGGGCCAGAGTCATGATGAAACACATGAGACTGTATCACAGAAGATAAGGGAAAAGATGGTCCCCATTTTCAGTCATTTATTCATTCAACAAACATATTTGAGGCACCCATTCTATGTCAGGCACTTTACTAGGTACTAAGGATATAGCAGTAAAGTAGATAGACAAAGAGCCCGCTGTCACAGAACATTCTAGTAACAGAAGAGAGCCTAAACAGAGGTAGACAAATCAGTGCACAAAGTTAAGTGGAAATGACAAACGCAGCCAGGTACAGGGGTGAGGCATGCTGGCAGTGCTAGGCCAATGAAGAGAGGCAGGAGGGTGGCACAGGGGAAGGAAAGCAAGCACGCCATGTGCATGGAGCACAGTGGGTAAGGGAGAGAAAGGCCGAAGGTCCGAGGGATAGCAGGAGCCAGAGGGGAGAGGACCTTACAGACTTCCAGAAAGACTTGGATCCTCTTCTGAGCAAGAAGGAATGTTAATGGAGTGGAGGGTGTTGAGAAGAGGAGGGAGGTGGGCAGACTTACAGTGATGCCCATGGATTCTGTGTTGAGAACAGGTTGGCGGGGGTGGCCAGGGTCGAATCAAGGAGTACAACCTGAGTGCTACCCCAGTGCCCGAGCAACAGTGTGGCCTCAGCCCAGGTGATGGAGGTGGGAGCAGTGAGGCAAAGACAGATTCTGAACGTATTTTGAAGGCAAAGCTGAAATGATTTTTGATGCACCGGATGAGGGCTGAGGGGATGAGGAGAAGAGGACTCAAAGATGGCCGCAAGGGTCTTGGTCTAAGGAAGTAAAACAGTGGAGCTGCCATTTTGTTAAGGGAATGAGCAGGATTGGGAGGTAAAATTGGGCGTTGATTTTGGACTCACAAGTTTGAGGTGTACAGCAAACAGCCAAGTAGAATTAGGTGCTTGGCTGCTTACGTCTGGAGTTTGGAGAAGAGGCT